GGATGGTCTTTTTGGTGATAGGGTTGTTTGGGGGGGGGGTTACCAATGTTCTACACTCCAAGGAACCTTCACTCATGCTCCCGGGAGCCAGCTAAGTCAACTTGTGGGTTCATCAAACTGATTTGGGTGGGATCGTTACCTTGGTCCATCATCGTCAATGTCCTGTCTGAGTGAACCAACACTCGAGTCTCCCCAGGAAAACTCACCACCACAAATGTCTTAGACTACACTGTTCTTTCTGTTCCGCATGCATGACTGTTCTTCAGGCTCCCAGGGGGCTCTCCCTCTCTCCCTAAGATGGCCAGGCAGTGCCCTCACCTGTCAGGAGGCAGGCCGGGGACTCCCAGACTCTTGGCTTCTTACTCCAAAACTGAAATGAAGGCTCACACAGGTTTTCAAAAGTCACAAGGAATGTTTATGCAAAGCAATGGGCCAGGTCGGATACGCTGTCAAGAGTGACAGCAGGCCACATGGGTGAAGGTCCCCATTGTTGTTTGGGGGCTTAATTTCATGGCGTTCAAAGTAAGAGTGTGCTCACCAGACATGCAGTTAGGGCTGTCCTTTGCTGAGCTTCAAGTTTGTATCACCAAAAGCCCTTGTTCGATGTGTTTGCCCTTTTCTACAAGGCAAACATATATATACACACACACCCAATTCTGAATAAGTGCAAGATGGCAGATAGAGGATTCTTCCTAAAAGTGCACTTAGAGGGCAGAGCTTGCCTTATTACACATGCTCCGGAACCAGTTAAGGCCAGACCGGCCATCCTTTCTTTGTACCTGGATATTCTGGGGACATGTTTGTAGACACTCTCTGAGTTTGGTGGTCATTGGGGGAGCTGTGTGAACCTGAAGCTGGATATAGTGGGGCCCTAGGTAGCCAATCTATTGCTAGCGTATCGCTGTGCGAAGCACTGCATGTTCCTGTGCACGAAGGGGAGAGGCTCAGGCTGTCAAGCGCGTTGTTAGAAGCATGGTGTTCGCATAGGCAGAACCTAGTGGAGTCCCAGGTTGGGGACCTATTCCCTGTGCTGGCCTGCCTCAGGCTCCCAGTGGCAGGCCTCACCACAGCGCTTTCCCTTTCCTGGTTATGATGAGCTGTGGTACCCCATATGTCTCCCCGCCCAGGTTGTGGGCTTCTGGGGAGTAAGCCCCGCACCTCCTTGATGTGTAGGCTTTCGGTTTCATCAGCATTATGCGCGCTAAATGAATCCTCCACAAATCGAGCAATTATAAACCCCAGACTTGAGACTATGGGCTTGTTTGTTTATTTGTTTGTTTGTTTTTTAAAGAAAACATTAGCTAACTGTCAGCTGTTTCAGAGAAATTCCTCCTAACTTGGCACATGTCTGAATCTCACAGAGCTGAAGAGAACAGTTACCTAGCTAGCACAGGTGTTCATCAGGTCAGTTATCTGAGAGGCTCTAAGTCAAAACACGAAAATGATGAAGAACGTGCCTCGGTGGCTGGAACAGCACATTCCCCTGGCTAGCCCCACTGCTGGTAGCAGGTGGCACCTGCCTGGTCTCCTGGTTTCTGCTTACTACTCCTCTGTTGGCTGTGTATTCAGCAGCGAGGCTGTGTGGTAATGCGTCAGCAGGGCACGGTGACATCACTCATACTGTTAACAGTCGATCATGCAGGCGTGAGTGACACACATGTGACCCACAGGCGGCTGGCGTGTGCATCCACCCTGGGAGCAAGGATGCCAGGGATAGTTCATGATTTTTATCGTGCAATTGTTGGTCAATGAAAAAAGTCTTTATCAAGATGAAAGGCCGCAGATGGCTTTAATTTTAATGGCTTATTCATGGAGTCCTGTAACCAGCACCACAATCCAGTCTCAGAACATTTTCATCACTCCCAAACCAGGCCCCTCTCCAATGCTTGTCCCACCCTCCAGCTGGCTTCAGGCAGGCACTGACCTGCTTTTCTTTTTTTGTATATTTGCCTGTCCTGAACTTTATGTCAATGGGATCGTGTGTGGCGTTTGGGGTCTGGCTTCCTTTGCTTGGGATCACGTTTTAAAGGCTTATCCGTACAATGGCATGCACCAACACTTCTTTTTTTTACCCACAAGCATTCTGCTGTAGGGATAAAAATGCATCTTATTCACACTTCCACCTTTTGGTAAATATTTGTGTTGTTTCTGAATACCGTTGCTCAGAACACTTGTGCACGAGTTTTTGTGTGGAGATAGGTTTTATTCTTAGTTATAAACCCCTAGAGAAGTGTAATTGCTGGGCCCTATGCTAACTCTGTGCTTGACTTTCCGAGAGCCAGTCAGACTGTTTTCCAGAGCGGCTGAGACACGTTGTTTTCACTCCAGCATTATGTGAGGGTCTGTTTTCCCATATCCTCACTCACACTTCTTGTCTCTCTTCCTGATGATAAACATCTTAGTAATATCTCATATATATACTTAAGCAACAGCTAATGATATTAATTCACTGTTGAGTATATGCATTTTAGTAATTATCATATTAAACATAGCATTTTCATTTCATTTCATTTTAATTTCAAAATAATAATTATTATATAATATAATTGTATTATTATGAATAATCAATTATTACTATTCTTGGGTATATATGTGTGGAGGACAGCTTTGTGGAGGTTATTTTTCCTTCTCCCTCTATGTGTGTTCTAAGGATTGGACTCTGGCCATCAGGCTTGCATGCTGAGCATTTTTATCTGTGGAACCATGTTTCCAGCCCCTGTATCTGAACTTTTAATGGTGTGTGTGTGTGTGTGTGTGTGTGTGTGTGTGTGTGTGTGTGAAATGATAAGGAGCATACAGACTGAAGAGTGTCTTATTAGCAAGTGACCTTTTGTAGCCAAGATTTGAAAATCCTAGCTTGGGTACAGAAGTAAACTCTGTTTTGGAGATCACTTCCTAGAAGAAATCCCAAAGATGATATATACTTTCTATTTTCAAGTGTAGGACACAGAAATGAACTCCACATCTCTTGGTAGTTTTGTTCAAAGAACTTGGTCTCTGTGGGGAAATTGCTGACCTCTTCCAGTTCTTCTAGCATGAATAAAAGAGCACTCGCATCTGGAGCGCAGGCTGTGTGTGTGATGGCTCCATGGGGCAGAGTCCTTGCCCTGAGAGGAGGAAGCAGGGAAAACAACATGTCCTAGCAAAAGGCTTCACAGTCGCAAGAACATGAAGAGGAGTGTTTTTTCATTTGGGGATAGTGCTCAGGATCATTAAACAAATGGAGACATCACGGTAGAACAGTGGCTGTGGTGAGAGCTTTCTCCTTTGATCTGGATCTAAAAATAAAATCTTTTCTTGAAATAAAAGTTATTTAAGGGGGGAAAACAAGATCTAACATTCACATAAGCCATTTTCCATTATGGCTGAAACATTGCACTTAAGATCAACAAAAATATAAAACTAGTCCTTCACAAAAATACAAAAGGACAGAGCTCTAGCTCTTTCTGACACTTCTCCGTTAGTGGACCTTGTACTCCTGGAATAGGAATTAAATCCAGCACCTGTCAACCTGATAGGAAGTGCATATCTTATGGAATCCCCAAAGGATCTTTAATAGAAAACAAGAGCACAGAGGCTGAGGCTGTGTCTCAGGAGAGTGCCGGGCAAGCCTGAGGGCCTGCCTTCATCCTCAGCACCACCACACAAGCACACACACTCAGCAGGCTAGCACCTGCAAGCCCGTTAGCTCATGAGCCCATCGGTGCTTATCAGAGGGTTGTGTCCGTCATTTCTTGGGGAAACTGCTGAGAAGCGAGTGGCACAGCACAGGCACTTCCAATAGCGGAATCTGCTATTTTCTTTGATCTTAAACTTGGAAAAAAAAAAGTGGGTGATTGGTGGTTGCTTGTGTCTCTAGATCTTTTAATAAAGATCTGTCCCATTTCTCTTTCAAACATTAGACTTTTGAAATGAGCTAAAGGCTTTAAGGGTAGGAATGAGCAAGAACCAACTGACAGATTTATTAGCTGCATCAAGTGTTTTCAGGTAAGTCAGAGCACTTGGTTCAGATAGCATTTATCTGAACACAGCTAGAGTAGAAACAGGTGATTTATTCTATATATTTTTAAAAATTTATTTATTTTTTTGATTAATTACAGTTTATTCATTCTGTATCCCAGCTGTAGCCCCCTCCTCCACCCCCTCCCAATCCCACTCTCCCTCTTCCTTCTCCTATGCCCCTTCGCCAGTCCACTGATAGGGGAGGTTCTTCTCCCCTTCCTTCTGACCCTAGCCTATCAGGTCTCATCAGGACTGGCTGCATTGTCTCCTCTGTGGCCTGGTAAAGCTGTTCCCCACTCAGGGGGAGGTGATTAAAGAGCCAGCCACTGAGTTCATGTCAGAGACCATCCCTGTTCCCATTACTAGGGCACCTTCTTGGACACTGAGCTGCCATGGGCTACATTTGTGCAGGGGTTCTAGGATATCTCCATGCATGGTCTTTGGTTGGAGTATCAGTCTCAGAGAAGACCCCTGTGCCCAGATTTTTTGGTTCTGTTGTTCTCCTTGTGGAGCTCCTGTCCCCTCCAGGTCTTTCTATCTCCCTCTTCTTTCATAAGATTCCCTGCACTCTGCCCAAAGTTTGGCTATGAGTGTCAGCATTTGCTTTGATACCCTGAAGGGTAGAGTCTTTCAGAGGCCCTCTGTGGTAGGCTCCTGTCCTGTTGCCTATTTTCTCCCTTTTCTGATGCCATCTCTCCAGCCCCCCCAGGTGATTTCTTAAGGAGTTTTCTAGCTCTGGGGCTCTGTAGCATTTTTTTTCCCCAAAACATTGAGACAACTGAAATGGGTTTTTAAAAATGATTTAATAGTGACAAATACTAGTAATTTTCTTACCAAAGTAAGCCCATGCTTTGTTAGATATAAAGAGGTGTGACCCAGAAGGTAGTTTTATTTAGCCTGTATAAATGATCGCTCTTCCATGCTATTAGTTTGTACAAATAGTTCTTGGATACATCCCACATTAAATTGTAATCACAAAATGATCTTTCTATTTTTAGGGCATGAGTATTCTTACCAAACACAGAAGACTGAAGGAACTTTCTCTGTCTGAGTGTTTCAACATCACTGACACTGGAATTCGGGTAAGATGGTTAGGGTTTTCTGCAAAATGGTTAAGAGTAAAAATTAAGCTCCGGGCTGGGTGTGGTGGCGCACACCTTTAATTCCAGCATTCTGGAAGCAGAGGCAGGGGGATCTCTGTGAATTTGAGACCAGCCTGGTCTACAAAGTGAGTCCAGATCAGCTAGGGCTCTGTTATACAGAGAAACTCTATCTTAAAACAAAACAATAAAACAAAACAAAACAAAAAAACTCCAATTGAATAATCTTTGTAAGTTACAATAGGAAAAAGTAACAGGAGCCAACTCACATATGGGACTGGGACTAGGCCACAGTCAAAAACTCTGGGTGCCATGATTTGAAGTTAAAATGCTGCTCACAGGCTGCTGTTTGAACACTGAACATTGTTCCTTGGCTTGGAATGTTGTTTTGAAGGCCCTGGAGTCTCTTTAGGGGGTACAGCCTGGCTGGTGGAGTAGGCCACTTCACCAGCTCTTGAAGTTTAGACCTAGCCCTAGGTCTAGCCTGGCTCCACTCCGTGTGAAGAATGCAGTCTCTGCCATGCTGGGTCACAATGAGTGCTGTCCTCACTGTGGACTGACATTTCTCTGAAACCGTGAGCCAGCACTTCCTGCCTTCCTCCCTTAAATAGCTTTTCTCGGGTATTTTTGTTCACTGTAACACAAAGGAAAACTGTGGTGGTTTGAACAGGAATGGCCCCAATAGATTCATGTGTTTGAATGCTTGGCCAGAGGGAATGGGCACTGTTAGGAGGTTGTGGCTTTATCGGAGGAGGTGTGGCCTTCTTAGAGGAAGTGTGTCACAATGAAGGTGGGGCTTAGATATCTCAGGAGGTGAAACTATGCCCAGTGTGAAAACACATCCAGTTTCTTCCTGGCTGCCCTCAGATCCAGATGTAGAACTCCTAGATCCTCTGCCAGCACCATGTTTGCCTGCACTCTGCCATGCTTCCTGCCATAATAATAATGGACTAAGCCTCTGAAACTGTAAGCCAGCCCCAACTAAACGTTTGCCTTTTTAAGAGCTGCCTTGGTCAAGGTGTCTCGTCACAGCAGCGAAGCCCTAAGACAGTAACTAACCTACTACACTGGCTGGTAGCCAGGTCTCTATGGCCTGAGGTGGCAAGGAGGCCTTGTGTTCTCATTCTTCTCCATCATCTCTCCCACCTTCGTGTCAGACTCATAGTATGCACAGGGGCATTTACTTGGGGAGTGATAAATGTCTGTGTGGCCCCAAATCCTTGCATATAGAGAACATAGTGTATAAAATAGAAAAATTAGAATACTATATAACCTTATCTGCGGGAGTTTAGACTCTATATCTATCAGATTATCTAACAGTTTGGAGTTTAAGTTATGCAAACACGGTTTGTAGCATACTTCAGTGGGATGGACAGCATGGGCTAAGTGACTGAGTAAGATGAGTTGTTATGTGCTCTACTCATACGTTAATCCTTGAGAAGGATAAGGGCCTGTAGGGCATGGCATGAGTAAAACAAAGGAGACCGTAAAGTTGCACAGTGCATATAAGCCACAATGGATTTATTTTTAAGTACCTTAAGCATCTAAATGAGCAAGCAAGAGAGGAAGAGATGAGGAAGAAATGAAAAGTCCACATGTGGAAACTGTTAACTCATTGAAAGTGTGTTTGGAGTTTAAAACCCCCAAAACATAGGAAAACATTAGACTAAGAAGGAAGAAGGGGAAGCGTGGGAGGGAAGGAAGGAGGGACACTTTCTTACAGGGATAAACGAGTTAATTCCACAAGTGAGTGGACAATACAAGGGACAGCTGAGAAGTCTGCAGAACACAGAGATATTCCTGAGCACAGCAACTCTGAAGATGACTTATCAAGAAGTTTTAAAAGACTAATTGAGCAGTGTTGGAATCACATACAGACTGAAGAGCTATGAAGGCCTGCAGGACAGCCCATGCTTAGACCCTAGCATAGAATTACGTATGTTTGGAGCCAAAGGAAGCTCAGAAACAGCTAAACCAATTTTCTGGTTTTACAGATTAGAATACTAAAGGCTGAGGGGTTACAACTGGTTGAGGTCTCATATCTTCTCAGGAAAGCAGCTTAAGCTCAGTCTTATGAAAATGAAGGGCAGAAATGGGGAATTACTCTTCCAAATGGTTGATTGGTAACAAGGCTTAGTCCCCACTGTGTTGTTTAGCTCTGCTTTGTTTTCTCCTGTGCCTTGACAATGCTCTAGTATAAGACGAAAGGATAACACCATTACAACTCTTCTTTAAAAGCTGTAGTATGAAGCAAGGTCAATGTCTTCTAAGTTTAGTCCTTGATGCCAACTCTGCCTAGTAGAGCAAGTTATTCAGAAAACTGAATACTGCTTCAAGAGCCCAAAAGGAATTGAAAACTTCCATGAGACAAGATTATAACTCTATAATACAAGGAATTACAAACGCTTAGGTACATGGAACCTGCTGTGAAAAAAAAGTATTCTTATAAGTGTCAGTTGTGGCTTAACTGAAAGGTTAAACATGTATTACACAAAGCCTTATCCTTTGGCACGATACAGTCAGGCTTTCAAAAAAAAACCTGAAAAGGTGACAGATCAAAGATTTTTAAAACAAAACAGCCAAGTATCATTGAAAATAAGTGTGTCACTAAGATGACCCAGTAGTAATGTAACATTTTACCATTATGAATGATGTCTTACATTGTTTTTGACAAGTCTTGGTTTCACACACGTACACACACACACACACACACACACACACACACACACATCTGTTAATAATAATTTTTGTATGTATTTATGAGATATAGTGCCATATTTTAATAATGTTTATGTATAGTGTGAAGACATCTACTTAACTGCTCAATCACTCATTTGTCCATTCATCCATGGCCAGGAGTATGATTTGTATCATAAAGTGCCTGGCAGAGCCCGGCTGGGAAGCCATACTCAGTGACATGACTCTAGTTTGCTTGAGAGAAACACTGTTTATTTGAACTAGTAGCAGTAGTAGCAGCGGCAACTGCATCAGCAGGAGTTCATTTGTGGGTAAATAAATAAATTAATTAATTAAATAAATACTTATTGAATGAATAAAGACCAAGAAGAAAAATTAAAAATCTTGACATTTCTATATTGAGTTACATTCCTTAGAGAGGAGGCAGTTGTGTTTGACCAGTGACTGAATCTTTCAGAAGTAGTCTAATGCGCTGTTGTGATGTTAGCCTCTAAGTATACATCACTTTAAAAAAAAAAATGCTTCCTGGGATGAGGCCAAGGTTTAGAATCAAGAAAACATCCCTTTCCGCCATTTGCTTTTGATCCTCTGGGCTCCAGGCATCTGCCTCACACTTCTAGAATGCCTAAACTTACACTGTCTATAGGAGCTCATGTGCTAATCATATGATCATACAGTGAAATGCTGCCATGCCTTTTACATTTTTGAAAGCTTAGCCTTTCAAAAAATGCTCTTTATTTTCAGTGATCTAGAGATATCTTTTTAAAAGAAGCATGGAATACAGAATTATTTCATCATTAGTCATACAAGATCAGATGTTCTAGAAATTCAGGAAAGATTTGCTTCCTCATCACCTCTCTTTTTTTTTCTCCTCTCTGTCGTGTGTGTGTGTGTGTGTGTGTGTGTGTGTGTGTGTGTGTGTGTGTGTTGGCTTTTGAATAGTCCAAGCATCCACCTTGTTCAACATCTGTCCTCCCAGATTGACCTCTGGCTAGCCTATTGTAGACATGCCTGTTTGGAGTTTAAGAGGGGTTTAGTCACGAACCCTAACAGCAAAATTGTTATCACTCTCCTGTGACTCTTCCCTTATTTCAAATGCTTTGATTCACTAACTCTTAAGTAGTTTCAAAATGTTTTTTATGCAAGATTTTCATAATTTAATGTTTATCCATTGATAACTCCACCCTCCAGTGCTAAACCAAAATTGATTCTGGTAGCCTTTGATACATCTGACTTACAATGCCAAAGATGGGCCATATGAGTCAGCTCCCCTTAGCAACAATTTTTTAAAAAAATCAACACAGAGTTTCCAGGATTAAGTCATGCAATAATTATCAAACTAGGAGATTTCGATAACTACACCTATTCTCCAGGGATAAAATCGTGCTCCTGGGTTGAGACGGAAACAACAATCAAGGTTCCTGGTCAAGCTGGCCTTAATCACTGACCTCTGGTGCAGCAGAGGATCTGGGCTGCCCTCCAGCGGGAGGTCTAGCAGGCAGACATGTTGGCTCTCTTAGCACCTGCCTCTTGCGCTCAGGGAAGCTGTTGTCTCACTCTGGGTTAGTACTGAGAAATGTTAACCAAAGAGTCTATGATGAAGAAGCTCCCAGACAATCTCGGGCTGTAGACTGTTTTATTGGTCTTAGGAGAGGAACTAAGCAATTTCTCAGTAGACTTAAAGGGGTGGTCATCTGGTGCTTGTATAAAAAGAAAGAAAGGAAGAAAGAAAGAGAGAGAGAAAAAGAAAGAGAGAGAGAAAAAGAAAGAAAGAAAGAAAGAAAGAAAGAAAGAAAGAAAGAAAGAAAGAAAGAAAGAAAGAAAGAAA